CCCCCCCCCCCCCCCCCCCCCCCCCCCCCCCCGCCCCCCCCCCCGCCCCCCCCCCCCCCCGCCTCTCTCTCTCACACCTCTCTCTCTCTGTCTCTCCTCCTCTTCCTCCCTCCCCCCAGGCCAAAATCCTGCACATGATGGACGACAACAAGCAGCTGGCGCTGCGCATCGACGGGGCGCTGCAGGCGGCGGGCCAGGAGGTGACGGCGCTGCGCGCCGAGCTGGCGGCCACCGGCCGGCGCCTGGCCGAGCTGGGCAGCGACCCGGCCATGGAGCACGGCCCGCACGGCGCTCAAGGTGGGTCCCGCCGCGGCCAGGGGGCGAGGGGAACTGAGATCGGGGGGGGTCTTTCTCAGCCGCCGCCTCCGCTCGGTGTTATTGTTCATTGTGTATTTTTTTTGGGGGGGGGCGGGGGTGCGTCCCGTCCGGCCCCTCCGGTTGCGGGATGCGCGGTGGGTTTGGAGATGGGTAGTTCGCTGCTGGCGTGCTGGCGCCTCGTTCGGCTCCTGCGCCCCCCACTCTGGCATCGGGAGGGACCCCCCACCCCCCATCCCTACCCCAAAACCCTCGCTGGTCCCCGCGTCCCCTCGCTGTGCTCCCCGCCACCGTCGCCGCCCCACTCCATTCCCATCCCCTGCGCCGCTCCCCGCCCCGGGGTCTCCCCACGCCGGCTCTCCCCGGTAATCCCCGCTCGCACAGCCGGTTTCGTAATTCGGTAGGAAAGCAGCCATGTTACCGCCACGGATCCGCCGCTCCGGCCCCGCCGCTCCCCCCTGGCCCCGCACCGGGCTCGGCTCGGCCCGTCCCGTCCCGGGGGTCCGGGGGGGGCTGCGGGGTCGGGGCCGCGCTCGGCGGCGGGAGCCCACCCCGAACTGCCGGGACCCCGGCACGGTGCAGGGGGAGGCTCGAACAGCCCCTCTGCGATGCTCCCTCCCCTCCATCTCTCCCTTCTCCCCAAATCCCTGAAAAGTTGTCTCCAAGCGTGGAAAAAGGGGTGCAGGGGGTGCGGGAAGAGGCTTTGCTTATGGGTTAAAGAACGGGGTCTGAATGGTTCCTGCAGGGCTCGTGGTGAGGTCCTGGTCTCGCCGGGCTGAAATTCAGTTCCCTACTAACCAAAGTGTGTTGCAATCACTGGTACTTTGTATACATTCGTATTTGAACGTTTCTATATATTTCCCAAATAATTGCAAGCTTGCATGACAATTTACCCCGAGCAGCCTTGGTGTCAGAGCAAAAATAGTGCAAGCCCTCCCCTTTCTCGATAACTGAATTTACACCTGTGTGATAAAAACGTCAGTAGCTGTTATTTACTCGTTACTTATTTACTGTGAGTATCTCTTGGTACAATGGTTCAGCGTTATTTAAAATAACAGTGGCGTTTTGGGGAACCTTTTGCAAGGTAGCGTGGCTCTTGGTGGGCATCGCTGCTCCCGGCAGGATGCAATCATGGAATTGTAGAATCACAGAACAGTTTGGGTTGGAAGGGAGCTTAAAGATCATCTGGTTCCACACACCCACCCCCCCCCCCCCCCAGTCACGGTTGGAACTGATGCGATAGTTGTTTGTGGCATTAATGCAAACTGATTTAGAGAGATTAATTAGTGAATTTATTCCGTGCAGCTTGTTGTATCTCTCTGTTTCGGTAGCGGGGGTGTGAATTGCACTTGTTAAACACAGTTAATCCAGGACCAGGTGGGTTTTGCTGCGCAGCAGGAGCTGGACCCAGCCGAGCTCCCCGGTGGCTGCGGGGATGCAGGGAGTGAAGTTACCTGCGTGGGGCAGGTATTTTCTGAACTGCCGTGCAGAGGTGGCTGTTGGTATCATCTCAGCCACTCTCTGCCACGCTCCGCAGCCAGGCTACCGAGGAGCTTTCTTTTATAAAAATCTGCTGAAAGGGCAGAAGGAGAATGCCAGCCTCCATCCTCCCCTGTGGAGCAGGGCGATCAGGAATGCAGATGGTGACATGCTGTACAGGGCATGAACGTGGAAATGCAGCCTTCCAGCCAGGAAAGCAGGTAAAAGGCTTTGGCTGCTCACGTCCACACTGATTTCTCTGTGTGTACTCAGTGTTTGGTTTCGTTTTTTTCTCGGGACACTTCTGGGAAGATGGGTGTGTGTCTGCAGGGGGGCAGTGCCTGTGTTCCTGCAGCGTGTCCCGGCAAGGGAGGGACGTCTGTGAAGTTCTTCAAGGGTTAGGGCTTCTGTTTGATATTCCTCAGAGGTTTTCTAGTCTGTCTAACGATGGAAAAACTCCTCTTTGTGTTCCTTTGCTATCGGCACGCTGGAAAACAGTCGGTACATTGTAAAGGTGCCAAAGAAACGCACGGAAACACACCCAAAGTGTGCGTGTTTCTGCTTAATAACTGTAATTACACGTGCTTCAGAGCTGTGGGGTCCCTGTGACGAGTGGAAAAGAGTGGTCCCATCTTCAGCTTGGGTGCCAGAGCAGTATTTCCAATGGCTGCTGGAGGTGTGGTCCACCTTCCTGGTCTTTAAGCTGGCAAATTTAGCTCAGAGTGCTGATGGCCAGGAGTTAGGAGAAAGGACGCTTCCCCAGCAAGGTGTGACTCCACGGCCTTTTGGCTGTAGGAGCATTTTTGTCCTTCTCAACAAGTTTAAGAGGCTGTTACTAAAATTGTCATATACCCAGCCATATACTACTGGTTTTGTAGCAGAAGCCAGTCAGTTAAGTGTAAAATTCCATCTGAAGAGTGTTGTGTTCATCGTGCTTAGGGAGGAGGAGGGGGAGAATATTTCATCTCCACAAACCCCACCAATTAGATTCGTTCTGCTTTGTGTTTCCTCCCTAAGTTTGGTACTACTGTTTATACACTGCCATAAACGCTCTCCTACATCACTCTGTGTTTGCATAGACAGGCCTGAGATATCTATAGTGAGCCGTATGCTTTTCCTCAAGGATTTGGAGACGGCGTTCGGCAGGATGGGGGGAAAACAAGAATCTCTGAATAGCTCTGCTGGTGTGTGTCTTCTAAGTAGGAGGGCTGCCAAGCTGTTTGATTTATGCAGATGTAGCAAAGGCAGGCAGGAGGATGGGGAATGGGGTGGCAGCCGCTTAACCTGCAAGTGCAAATTTGGGGTGTGGTGGTGATGCTTGGGTGGCCAGTGCTCTGGTCCTGGTGCAGAAGCACGTGGTGAAATCACCAGGTCCCTTTGCTTGTGGAATCGTGGAATGGTTTGGGTCAGAAGGGACCTTAAAGCTCATCTTGTCTCAACCCCTTCCGCTAGATGAGGTTGCTCCAAGCCTTGTCCAACGTGGCCTTGAACACTTCCAGGGATGGGGCTGCCACAGCTTCTCTGGGCAACCTGTGCCAGGGCCTGCCCACCCTCACGGGGCAGGATTTCTTCTCCGTCATGGGAAGGAGCTCGGTGATCACAGCACTTCAGGCAGCTGCTCCAGGTCAGTCCCAAGTCGTGTGGAAGGAGGTGAATGCGTCTCTGTGCCCTGCTCAGTCGGTAATTAATCCTGAGTTTGTCAAATGTGTTATTTGTATAATTATGGTACGGCTTGAGACAGCTCGAGGTAATAGCTCTGCCCCTTTTGTGCACGCTGAGACTTCTCTCTGCTACAATGAGCTATTTTTGCCGTGGCAAGGTACACTTGGAGGGCCTCTTTTCTGTAATTTAAATCAAAACTGGAAGAATTCAGCAAAGAGGGAGAGCAGGGCGGTGGGTGTGTGTAGGTGGGCAGGAATGGAACTTGTGCATTGTTACACAGTCCTTAACGAGAGTGTTAATCATTCGAACCTCTCAGCCCTTGACAGTCTCTTTTAAAAAAGGCAAGTTTGCTGGGAGAAGTATTTTGGCCGCAGCCTCTCCAACCTTGGATGCAGATCAGGGTGGAAATCAATACTTCATGTCCCCGGCTCTTAGCACAGCAATTACAGGCAGCGCTCGGTGCCGTCGCTGCGGCCGCCTGTCAGCACCCTCGTGCTGCAGTTCTTGTTTGAAAGAGGATGGGTTGGATTGATTGGGAGCAAGGGATGTGCCCGTGCCTGGTGGTCCAGATCAGCCTGCAGCGGTGGGGTGGGATGCTGGTGATGAGGAGGGGGGTGCAAACAGAGCATCCCAGCAGGTGCTGTGGCAGGTCAGTGGTCAGCCGTGACCTCCCTGTCTGTGCTGGGTTCGCCTCTGATCTTTTGACATCCTATCTTTGCCCAACCTGCACCCGTGTTTCCAGTGCTTTGATTAAGAGCAGTACCTGTGGAAATCCAAAGTTTGGGTGATGACTTGCTGTGCTCAGTCCATTTAGCCATGTGTTTTTGCTGTAGTCTCCTTCCCACATTAAATGGAAAACACCTTAATTAATTAGTGTTGGTAAAGTGCTTGAAGATGTAACGCGCAATCAATAGCTAAGTGTTATTAATAACACCTCGCTCAGCGTTTGGCTTATCTCACTTCCTATTTCAGGGCATCAGTGGCACACCGTGGTCTCTGTGTCCTGGCTCCTGCTGGTGGGGGTGGGGGTGTCTGCATGGATGCTGCCAAAATTCCGCTGGGAATGGGGCAGGAGCTGCACCTTGCTCCTGGAATAAAGGGTTTCTCCTTGCTGCACAGTGATCTTGGGCAGGTGCAGCATAAGAAGCATTTCAGTTGCATCTTGGTATCTCATGATGCCAAGGGGCCAGGAGGACCTTTGTGCTCCTGACAGCCTAAAATAGAGTTTTCCCTTTTTCCCCTCTGATCTCGGTGTCCTTTCATAGCTACGATGCAAAGACTTTGACTTTTGCCCGGGAGGCAATCAGTTACCTCTGTGCTGTTGCTATTTTGTGAGTAATCATCTCAGACTGCTGAAAATGGACCATTTTCATCTCTTCAGAAATCTTCCCTGCTATTTGTTCTTCCAGAGCTGGAGAGCTGATACTGTAAAGAAGCCTGAGGAATTTGGATACTGCTGCCCAGTTGGGTATCGGGAGCATTTTATCACAAGATCAAGGTCTTGCTGTACTATTAATCTTTCTAATCATTTCCTGCTTTATTTTTCCTCTGTCCTGTGTAGTTCAGAAGATGAGGAAACAACTAGTTTCATGCTTCTGAAACAATTGCCTGTGCTGAGAAATCAATTTGTGCTTAGCAATGTTCCCATGGTTGCTTTAGAGGCAAGGAACTGGCTGCAGATACCACTTCAGGTCCCTGCTATATCTTAGTCTTTGAAGATGTTAATTTAAATATTCTTTTCTGGAGTTTTCCTATTCAAAAGCCTCACCTGGCATGGTTGGCATAATATTTAGATTATCATTGCTTTGTCCAGGGGAGTTTTAGTGAAGCTCCTGAGGATG